TATATAGTTGCAAATACAATAACAATGTTTTTTGGATCGAAATTAAGTAATTAACAGGCTTTTTGCTATTACAGGTGACTATGGGACCACTAGAGATTCCGAAAAGTTTCTTTGAACAAGCAAATAAAGGCTATTTGGTATGAAGAATATAGTTTCATTTCCAATGTGTTCCAATCGCGACAAACCTAAGTACTCGACAATGCATAGTTTCTTTTGCGATAGAATTCCACTGCTGTTTTCTTATGCAACAATTAAATATTAGTCAAAAATAATTTGGCAATGTAAAACAGAAACGAAATACATTGTTAACTTCTTCAAATATGCAACATAGATACGTGTTTTCCGCCGCAAAGTTTGAATCTGAGAAACAATAATTGTTGTAAGAGGCCATTGAAATTAAAAAATGACCTAATTTCAACATGAAAGATGGTTTCTCCGTACCACCAGTTTGGGATCCAGTATTTCCTCTGATGAAAAATCCCAAACAGTCATAAGACTGCAGTACTAATTAATATGTTTTAATTTATTCTAATTTCCATAATTAATTAATAATCAATTTAACTTAATAAAAATTCATATTGTTAAAATAAAATCGTTTGGAAAACATAATGTAGCGTAAATTGGAATATTTCTTTGAAAAATTAAAAATAAGGTATTAATTCATAATTTTCATAACTATAGTGAAAAAATAGAGTGGTTTGCATTAATATTAGACATAACTGGTAGATGACTTTACCACCTCAGTCAACCGTGACCATGGGACCTGTAAAGGGCCCAAAACGTTGGTTTGTTTGAAAAAACAAATATACGCGATTTAAATCCGGAAAAATAGTTTCATTTCCTAAGCGAACAATTGCGAAAACCTAATAACTCGATACAATAATTATTCCCAATGCCTTCCTTCTTAAATTGCAATTAGGGTTACAAAGAGACAGCGATATGTGTTATAAATATAGACTGATGACCGGGCCGTTATTGTTTTCGTTTCTGGCGTCAATGTGCGAGGAATTATCAATATCATTGTAATATTTTGTGTGATGATAACAGTTAGTTATCGATTATATTATCATTCATTTACAAGTACATAGTCAGGAGCACTTCAAGCTAGAGACTTACAATAAGAGATTTTTAAAGTGTCCAGCTTGATGTGCAAATATTTTATCTCATAGATCATTATCCTGTGAAAGAGTTCGTCCTAGGAAATTACCTTACCTATTTCTGTCGCCATATAGTAATGGGAGCATTACCATGTTTCGGCATGAAGGGTAATGGTGCTGGTGTAATTACAGGCACACGAGAGTTGTCAACTTATGTCTCAGGGTGACGGGCGCAGTGTCAGCACCTGTCAGATCTTTGCGAATGGACGTATGTGGTCTCGGCCTACCTCAATGTAAGACAGACATGATGATAATGTATATTGAAGGAGACTACCGCCAGGAGGTGGCACTACTAGAAAAAGCTACCTGTTAATTTTATCGACATTGTAAATTACAACAATTCATCGCGCAGACGACGATGCAGAGTTTTGTCTGTTCAATACTAGAAAAAATATATCTTTTAATTGTTATTCATGGCAGGTATTCTAGTTTCAAGCCAGTCGTAAGGAAATAAGGGATTTTTGTGTAAGATCACTTTGTATTCACCCCGTGCACTGGAACATTTTACAGGTGAACTCTTCTAACGTTCACGCTACATTTCAAACTTGGTCTAAAGCCATTGCGTTGTAGTTCTAAATACCCTTATCTAAAGGGAAAAGACATGACTGTCGCAGTGTGAAGAATACATTTGTACGGTCTGTCTGTACAATTTAGTCAGGAGAAGTCGTCTGCTCGCGTCAGAAGTTTAGTCAAAACTCCCTCTTCGTCGTTTGTCCAAAGTAAAGAAGGTCGGTTGTCGTCTTTTGTCCAAAAGAAATTCGGTCTAATTTCGAATTCCTGTCTGGTCATCCATGGAGGCTGGATGTTGGTTATCCATAGAGACTCGACGCGATAACATTATTAAATTAATCTCGTAACACTCCTCCGCGTCTCGCTGCCTATTAAATTTCAAGGAAATCACAATTCGAGTCGATGCAACCTCAAATGGCTTTGGATGATTGGATTTGGATGATTCCGCGTATTTTACATATACGAATGATTTGTTTTTATGTCAACTGAATTAAATAGAACACGTATAGGACACAATGCACATTTTTCAAATGGTTTTTGTAATAAAATAAATTCTGAAATAAAGCCAGTGTCCCAGCCGCAACCCGCGCAATAGAACCCATTCAATACTCTTAAAGACTCCTAAGCATGGCGATTATGAAAAATCTTCGTTTTACATTACTTAAAACCTGGTTCAGACTATGCTTCGTTTAGTCGAGTTGCGAGCAATTTAGTAGCTAACCACCTACGATAAAAACGCGTTCGCAAGACAGTTGTGTACAGTACATTAGTGAGTAGTATCACGTGTATTGCAATATGAACAGGAAAACGAAACCAAATAAATAAAAATATATAGTCAAAGTCAAAGATCATTTATTCCGTAGGTAAAATAAATTTACACTTGAAAACGTCACATTTAAGGTACTTCTGATTCATTACGCTGACCTCCCTGAGAAGAACGAGCAAGAAACTCTAGGGATTGCTCTTTTCAAATAAACTTAAATGCTATGGATTACACTTTGAATCAAATTTGTATGGATTCTGGAGCCGTGTCGTCTTTCCATACATCTTTATCTCACACGTAGTCTTCAATTTTGTAATATGACTTTTCAATAAAAATATTTTTAATGTAGTTTTTAAACTTAGAAAATAATAATCTTAATGTGTGCTCCGGAGTCTTATTGTAAAAACGTATACAGTTCCCCATAAAAGAGTCGTTTACTTCGGTTAAACGAAATCGTGGTACCTTAAGTTTGGACTTAGCTCTAAGGTTAATATTATGGATATCTTCTTTCTTATTGAAATTATGCATATTTTTACGGGCATATAAAATATTTGAGTAAATGTACTGTGATGCCACAGTCATTATACCAGTCTCCTTAAACATTTATCTGAGAGAAACCCGAGAGCCTAGACGGTACACAGAACGAATGGCTCGCTATATATTAAAATGTTACTACAGCAACGGAATTCACTTTGGGGCACTTCCCAGAACACCCAGGCCAGAACCAATTTAGAAAGTTGTATCATTCCAAATTGGTTCTACGGAAATCGAACTCAGGATCTCCTCATCCAATGCCCGCAGTGCAAACCGTTGGGTCACCGAGGTTGTCAAATATAGCTAATATAGCTTATTGCAATGGCTATTTGAGAAGAAGTTGAAGAAAAAATGGGGGATTATATAAAACAACTATAGTTGCGAAAAAGGATTGAGAAGATATGCCACACGCTTGCCATTTACCGCAAGCCACAAACGTCTACAAACGCTTGGCAAATTAGGTGAGACATACGTCGACGTTCATACGCTTGCAAGCGCACTAGTGTGCTCCAGAGAAGCTTCATGGCGGACGTTGAATTTGTGTGTGCTATAACGTTCGGCTTGACCTGTTTTTATAACACAAAGAAGAAAAGATGAAAGAAAACGTGTATCTGCTACTTTTTGTCATAATGGTCCATAAGCCTCTGATTCCAATGCGCAGGGTTCTGCTTGGTGGCACTCCAGAAAGAATAAAATAGTCTCGTTTGACCAGTCACCCATTTCCCAAAATAACCACCGAAATCTATCACTCCTAAATTAAAGTTGTTTTTAAATTCTTTTATTTCTTTCTTCTTTTTAAATATTATACGGCATATCCATCAACCGGTTGATGGATTGTTGCAACCCCGTAAAAGAATAGAAACATCTATCTGTCTACGCTTCTCAAACAATACTAACTAGCACAAACGTACATGGCAAGCGCTTGCCGCAAGCTTCCTTTTGCTTCGTGCACAAAAACCTACACTTGAATGGATCGGCGACATACACATGCAAGCTCGCGCAAGCTAATCCAAACACACCATTTGTACAGTCAAGAGCACATCAAGCTTGACTCTTTGTACTTTGAAGTACGAAGTGTCAAGTACAGTTCTTATCGCAAGCGGCATAGAATTAAGTCTTAAGTGTGGAACCGACATAAACTAAAAGCTGATTTATATTGTTTAATATCTTACTAAAATGGCTTACTTATTTCTGCCGACATATTTCTGCCGCCAAGCAATAATGTGTGTAAAGGTATTGGTGAAATTACAGGGACCTGTCAACTTATGTGTCAGTTTGACGGGCACGATGGCAGTTTCCCTCAGATCTTTGCAATTGAAATCTTTGAGTGTCACTGCGACTGTTATGGACAAGCCTGTCGCTTACCACCAGGCGCACGATTTATTCGTCCCATGCTGCGCGCCTGCGAGTACGCTTAGATTATACGCTATAACTATACTTACAATGATAATGTAAATAAAATAGATAAAAATATCACTTAACGTTTTATCTGACTGATAAAAATGTTATGCGCTGCACTGATAGTCGATTCAAGTTTCAGTTGGTGAATATCTTTTGTGATTATATTAGTGAAATAATGAAACGTTCGCAACTCAGAAAAAGTACCAGTGATAATAAAATGTTTTGTGATAACATCAAAACCCTCATTTAACTCAATTAAATTAAGGTTCGGATAATAATTAAAGTAATCGAATTGAAAAAACTAGATAACAATCTTAATATTTTGTACTGGACTTTAAACTGTGTTATTTGGCCTTGTTTTTAATACGCTAAAAGAAACGAATTAAAAGTGCGTAGACGAATTTCAAAATGAGTGTACACTGTCAAATCAAGTTATACAAAACCGATGATGACGTCGTTCGACCCGGAAGCATGGTCTCTGGAATATTGAAATATAATATAGAAGAAGAAACGGTTTGTAACAAAGTCACAGTCTCTTTCAAAGGCAAAGGATATCTGCTTGCAAAACTGAAAAAGAGGGAAGCCAACTTACGTACTTTCAGAAAATCTGAAAACTATACAAAAATAGACTACATCATTTACAGGCATGAAGCTGGAGAAAAATTACCTGCTGGATCTTATCAAACAGAATTCCATTTTATTATTCCAGATAATATTCCACCTACTGTAAGATACACAAAGAAAACTTTAAACCACTTTATAAATTGCTACATTATCTATTACATAAGAATAAAATTTGAAAAGAGCGGTATCATAAAAAAAGTAACAAAATTTAAAACACCTGTAAAAGTTATACCAATAGCTGTACCTAGTTTGCCTACAGAACCCACTGTATACAATCACCAGCAAATTCTAAATCCTCAAGTTTCAAGAAATTCGAGCGTATTGAGAATTTTTGCAACAATAGCCAATTCCGTTGTCCTACCGCGTCAAAAAATAAGAATTGAATACGAGGTTAATAATGATACTCATGTGAATGTCAAATCAGTCATTACCAAGTTGATTGAAGTATATACTATTAAAAGCAAAGGAGGCAGAGAAATAAGATTTCTTGAAAACTTACATAACACAATGAAAGTGTCTGGCATTATCAAAATGCAAGAAACTAAAATTAGAGTGGTTGAAGTGACAGTGCCTCTAAATTTGGGGACAGTGGAGTACTCAAATTTAGTATCCAGAGAGTATTTTGTGATGATGATCCTTGAACTACCAATGGATTATGAGGATATGGTCTTAAAAATTCCAGTGCAAATTGGTTATGATGTTCGTGGTAAGGAACGGAAACCTCCTTCTTATTGGGACGTTTTGCAGGAAGACGGAATTGATGATCAGTTTGATGAAAATGCAACTTTAACTGACGCTGAAGAAAGTGAAACTGAGCTTTAATGTGTTGCACATATTGATAAAAAAATATATGGCGTATGGCTTTATTACCTTGAAGCTATATGGGTACTGTATTGCCGACATACATGCAAGACAATAAAGTTATGCGTCATAATTGCAAGGCTAAAGCGCTTTTTATTTACCCACCTACATCAGACGTTCTAAAAGGGGAAGTACAAAAAAGAACCCTAATTTGTGCAAGGTTATAATGATTCATTAAATATGTTATTCACGAGGAAATGTTTATCAAAGTCTTAATCTGGATTTTAAATCCGATAACGAGATATGATAAGCAATTGTCTACATTACTTAAACTATTACATTTTTCAATATAGATTAGTGTTCAATTTACACTAAAATGTACTGCAAGTAACGTAGTATTTACTTAACAAATAAATATTATAACAAAGCATAAGAAACGTGCGTACGTACAAGGTGAAAATTCCAAAGAACTTGCAAAAACTTAGATGAGTCTTAGTTGCGAAATAAACGTAACCAATCCAAGCGATGGAATTTTTAGACCAGGTGATTCTATATATGGAGTCATCAAGTACCAAATCTACGATCCGACTCAATTTTCAAGAATCACAGTTTCACTCAAAGGCAAAGGTGTGTTAGAGATTGCGGGAAATTATAAAAGAAAATGCTTTGAAAACTACGTAGACATTGATGAAGTTGTTCAACAAGGAGACATCAATCTTGCTATTGGAATCTACGAAGCACCATTCTGTTTTCAACTACCCTTCAACATTCCTCCTTCTTTTCAATGTAGTGAAACCTGCCAACGTTACAAAGTGAAAAATTGCCGTATATTTTATTACATACGCATCAAGTTTGACAAACTTCTAAAGTTCCAATCTGGAAAGAGATTCAAGAAGGATATCACTGTTGGACTGCATGTACGACCAAGGTTGGATAGACAACCAGCAACATCCGTAAAGTGCAAAAGTCTGTTTCAAGAAATATCGGGTAACCAAGGCTCTGTATACGTAACAGCGTTGATAGAAAGTTCTGTTTTGGCCCCTGGAGAGAAAATAAAAATTACTTACACTGTTCTTAACGAAACCGATTTGATGCTTAATGGAGCAGTGGCAAAATTAATAGAAGTGCTCACTTTCAGGCCTTATAGACCTTTGTTGAAAACGAAGTGTTACAAAAACGTGAACGTAATACCTAGAACATCCATCATTTATCCTAGAGAAACGTTCACCAGGCTTGTGGAAATTATTATTCCAGAAGACTGTTCAGGTACTTTGGAGTATTCCAGTCTGGTTGTAAAGCATTATTGGGTGCATATTGTAGTCGAGACGCCGTTTCCTCAGTCTGACATTATTGTTAAAGTTCCTATTCGGATTGTGAATTTTGAGACCAGTTCATCTTCTACCTCAAGCAGCTCTACTAGTACACCCAGGTACGACAGAGATGCACCTCCGTCCTATTGGGAAACCATGGGAGATGATGCTTTTGATGGGGACAGTGACAATAACAGCGGTTCGGACTCCAATCAGTAACACGCTTTATAGACTAATAAAGAAATTATTATTTAAACAGATGGGTTTTATTTCTTGTCTTTCAATGTATTAAACTAAGAAGCATGGCATTTTTAACCGACTTCAAAAAGGAGAAGGTTCTCAATTCGACTCTACGTTCTTTTTTTTGTATGTATGTTACGCGATAACTCCGGTATTTGTGGACCGATTTTCATGATTCTTTTTTTGTTGGAAGGGGTACTTCCATAATGGTCCCATTTCATTTTGAATAGAATCATCCACCTTTAATGGTGGCTGTTCACGCATGAAGATTCATTTTTATAAATAGCGCTTAACTTTAATTTAGGAGCAATTATTTCAATGGTTGACTTTGCTATTTCTCCAATTCAAGGCGTTTTTCTCTCAATATATTTTGAGTAGTGAGAACCGATTATTACTATCTCCAGTGTCAAGTCCTGTATAGTGGCGAACTAGGGGATATTTTAATTAAACTTAGCAAATAGACGTAATTCCACGTACTTTTGAGGTCGGTTTTTTTAGTACTCTGTACTGAGATTATTTACATAAAAATATAGTGATAAACACAACATGAATATGAGGAAGAAATATAAACAGGTTGTTTTTTGACAACTGTCTTTAAAAAGTCACATTTGCAATGAATGTGTAGGGAGATGGAAAAGTATCAATATTTTTTGGTATCGTTTTCATTCGATAATTTCAGGTATTAGTGCTTTTTGACAAGCATTGTATCGTTTTGAATAATTCCTACTAAAGACACCTCATATCGTAACGCAAGCCACGCAACGTGGCACGCAAAATGACAACCTTCATCACAAATGACTTGGCCGTGTATTGTATGCCACCATTTGCCAATGTATAAGAATGAGAATGAAGAATTTGAATTAACATACCTGACAAACATTATATTTGAGTACCTCGCAATTCCGGCGAAGTTTGTTCTTTCTTCAGAATGTTTGTTCTCAAAAGCAGGCAATAGGGGAGAGCGGGGCTGAACGTTTCGATTTTTCAAATAACTTGAAGTTTTATACTGAAAATGAAGGATTTGATTTTCAACATTTGGAAATATTGAACAAGTGTTTATCGCTTTTTGTAATAGTATAGTCACTTCTACTAATATCTCAATAGTCTTTTTCATAGAGGCAATTTTTTGACAAATTTCGGAGCGGAACATTCGGCTTTGGGGCGCGTAGTTCCGCCTTTGAGGCAGATTGTTCCACCTAGATTACGACAGGATAACCAAGATTTTCTTAAATAAAACTACCTTTTTTATAATTGTATGTATGTAATGTTTATATTATGCACAACTAACTTAAAATTTTAAGTATGATTGCAGGTTAATTGGGGAAGTTGTTCCTAGGAACAACCAACCCCTCGAGGGAGGTACTTATAGCCCAAATTACATATTTATACGAAGACTGACATACCGGCAAAGTAATAGAATCAATCAAAAAAATATTCAAACAGTAAGATTCCTTACTAATTACACTACAATTAAGAAAAGTTACGTATGAATCGGCCCATAATAAACAAAGACAGACCAAACAATTTAAACAAGACAAAATGTGCTTACGTAATGTTTTGACAGCTCCACGCACATAGCCACACTTCCGTCGTCGCCGGAGTAACTGAAATGGCTGCCGGCACCTGACGCTTCAACGACGTGCTTCACATGTATTGATATATATATTTTTCTTGCAAAGTTATTGCTATGAGAACAACTTACCCCGGCAACTACCAGCCCCGGTCTTCCCTACCATATCAAAAACGAGAAACGGACTATTACCAAATAAATTTTTGTTTTTAAGTGATTATACAAAGGAGTGGAAAATTTAAGTAATACAAATTATGTGAAATGGCGATTGATTGAATTGATCAATTTAATCATTCTTTTATTATTTGTGTAAATCATAAATCAAGTAAGACTTATTTTATAATTTATATTCATATGTTTTATTCTGTCTTTAAGTAGGCAAAATTTGCAAGATACGATACATTTTATGCTATACTACTCCTGAGTACAGTATTGATACTTTTGATTTGATACTGTGTCCCTATAAATACGTTTCCTTAATTAGATTAAAATCCATTATAAAAGGAAACTTTATAGAAAAGATATTTTTATTAAGGACGATGACCGGTGCAATATGGAGGCATATACAATACATCTATGATATAATAGTTTACGCGTGTCAAAACTTGAGGACTTAAGGCCGGCGCAGACTGACGTCGCGGCACGGCACGGCATGCCGCGGCACATTCGCTGCGCGCCATTCGCCGAAATCGCCGCCGCACTAGTTTCAAACCTTATTTCAATTAGTTTAATTGTCATAATTCTGTGACCGACGTGACTTGCGGGACGTCTGTGGAATGAAACGGCATGCCACGACGTGCCGCGGTATAATTGTATCGAAATAAAGTAATATGAATTCTAACCTCGATGAAATAAGGATAAAAATAACTTAATCAAAAATAAAATCCTTTGCCGTGCCGTGCCATGCCGCGACGTCACTCTGCGCCGGCCTTTATGAGCGACGTATCGGTGGAGGCCGAGCGTTGCGAAACGCGGGAAAACTAAGTTGGCCACCGTACCGAACTCGCAACTGGAAATCCGTTGGTAATAGGTCCCCGATTCTACAACCATGTACCCACAAATCTGAAAAGTGTTACAAGCGACGAGACGCAAAATACCCGACTAAAACTCCTTTTGCTGGATAATGAATTCTACAATGTCGATGAGTTTCTTTTGAATCAATTGTTATTTTGTTTTACTGCCACCTTACCTATTTCTGCCGCCAAGCAGCAATGTCAGCATTACTGTATTCCGGTTTTTAAGGGTAAGTAAGGGTTCTGGTAAAATTACAGGCACATGGGACTTGTCAACATATGTCTCAGGGTGACGGGCGCAGTGGCAGTGTCCATAAGTTATTTGCGATTTGAAGCTCTGAATGTCAGCAACTGTTATGGACAGGCATGTAACTTACCATCAGGCGCACGACTTGTTCGTCCCGTTGAAAAAAACTCTAATAATTGAACAAACTTGTACAATTACATTCCATATATAAGTATATTGGGGAAAAAATACCCAGCTGTGCTTCAGAATCCAGCTGCGCTAAGTAGATAGGCTCTTCCGCGTAGTTGTGATCTCACCGAAAGTGTTTCCTTGAAAATAAAAAAGGAAAAAGATTGGCTCACACATCTGGCAGCACTGAGCACATTAACCGCAAAAAAGGAATTTAAAAAAATATAAACAATTTTTCGTCACCCTTCATCGCCGGAAATTCAACAAATATTTTTATTTTTTATTAAAAATGAACTGCTGCTTTGATGGGTTCTAGAAGGTAACCTATCACAAACTCGAATTTCTTTTTTCCAAATTTAATTAGTCCGAAAACGGTTTGACTTTTTTTCATTCGTGTGATGACAGTTTTGGTATATATTTGCAACACAGAAATGTCTTACAGCAGAAGTATCGTTTGTCCGAAAACCTTTTATTAGAATAATTATTACACATACGTATTCTTTGGGCAGAAGTTTGTTTAGTCTAATCACGTTTGTTACACTGTCTGTTTTCCATATAGTTTAGATTGCTGAAAATTCGTTTCGACAAAATTACTATTCTCAGCTCGAATTGTACCGCCTATTCATATTACAATACGATACATACAATTTTACCATACAGCTCAAAAAGTCTGGACTGTATTTTGCTGGTGCACAGCAAGTCCACTTACGTAATTTTCGTCATACCATTGTGCTATGTTTTTGCTATCGTCTCAAATGTAATTGAATAACAATGGTCTCGAGCATTCAATAAATAACTTATAACTGAATCGAGGAGAGTACCAGAGCCTGTTTTTTGTATGTTTGCATTACCTAGACGGTACGACCCCCTCCAGTAGGTTTAGGTTAGGTTAGTATATGAAAAAGCCGCAAAAAAGTACTGTCGAATTGAGAACCACTTCCTTAAACCCTCTTTTTAAAGTCGGTTAAAAATACAACTACATATATCATAACTGCATATAAATATCAAGTGTTAAGTGTATTTTATATAATAATATAATAAAGATAATTGTTTTATCAAAAGGAAAACACATTTCGAATTATCGTCTTCAGAATGACAAGAACGACGTACGTATCGACGTATATATATATATTAGTCAAATCAAAAATCTTTACGATTTAAAACTCTAAGTGGCACTGTAACTGCTATGGACAGGCGTGTCGCTTACCACCAGGCGCACGACTTGTTCGTACCGTCACATGATATCATAAAAAACAAAAGTTCGATTGTTAGTTATGGGTCTCCTTTTAGAAGAAGAAATTAATCATAAACACGGCCCAGTGTTATTTAAAAAAAATCATCATCAAAAATCAACTTTAAATGAGCCTTTTTGCATATGATACTCCATTATTTACACATATGAATTATAATTGTTTGTATGATCGACCAGTCAACGACCCGCCTCGAGTCATATATAAATTCATATGTGACTAATGCAGCCGGTTGTGTCAAGGTATGCGAAGTCCCGACAGTATCCATCAACACGTGAGAGTAACGCCACGTCTATTCATAATATTTACACAGCTACATCGTTCGCTTGTGTTTCGTATATCTAAGATATCAAAATGGGTGTATCGTGCGTTATAATAGTGACAAAACCACCTGAAGGTGTCCACAAGTCTGGTGAAACTGTGAATGGAATTCTCGAGTACGCTATTGACGAACCAACTAAATACAAGGATATATCCATCTCTCTCATTGGCAAGGGTGAATTCAACATAAGGAAAGGGACGGGCGATAACAGTCGAAACTATCGTGATAAAGAATTCTACATACAACGAACAATAAATGTTTTAAACAAACGTCCAGACGAAGTTGTAACTTTACCCTATGGATCTTATAAGTTTCCTTTTCAGTTTCATTTGCCGTGGAACATACCTTCCACGTATTCAAACAAACGTATATTTGGAGATCTTACCGGTACTTGGGAGATCAACTACTGTATAAAAGCTGTGTTTGTAAAACCAAGCTTACTCAGTATCAATAAAACTTGCGAAAGCACCCTTATCGTCTATGGGATTGTCAATCCCATCGCAGAAAGCCCTTTAACTATTGGAATCAAAAAATCTATTACCAGAATCAACTCTTTATTACGACTCTCTGGAAGAATTGAAGTGATACATTTAAAAGTTACATTAGATAATTCACATCTTAGTCCTGGAGAAATTATTAAGCTTAATTACGAAGTACAGAATGATAGTGATGTTGACATAAGAAAAATTATTACTGTTCTAACGCAAAGAACTACTTTAACTAAAAATGATCTAATAAATACATTAGAAAAAGAAGTGAAAGGTTGTAGAAATGAATCTGATTCTATTCGTAACAATACTAAAAGATATATGGAAGTGTTGTTGCCTACGAAACCCGAGTTGTACTCAATACAGCATTCGAATATAATAAACGTGGAATATTTCTTAAGAATTACAGTGCACCTACCATTACTTCACAAAAATGCCTCGGTAGAAGTTCCTATAGCGATTGGGGAGAAACATGGGCGTGGCGCTTTGGATGTTTTAGAACTGGATGACTATAATGACAATGTTGACCCACCGACTTATAAACAAGCTGTTAGTGAAGATAACGCACGCTTTCGTGAGGTTTAAGTGACTCAAAATGTTTACGTTCTCAAAAATGTTGTTAACCTAGAGTTTACGAATTACTTACTATATCTTTTGAACTTTGATATTATTGCTGATATTAATATTTGTGTAACGAAATAATAAACTTGTTTCTGTAAGGTCTTAGTCTAATGTAATCTCAATATCTATAAGACGATCTGTTGTTGTTGTTGTGTGTATTGTATTGTATAGCATGGCATGGTATTATAGTTGAAGCGCCTATTTTGCGTGTAATATAATTATAATATAATAATAATAATTATAATAAGAATACTAGGGAAACCCTGCGTCGCGGGTGCCATGGACACACACATAGACAACCACAAATTACACCCAAACTCACGAGAGAAATAATTGTAGGCCATACTACAACTATTTCTCCCGGCCCGGGAATCGAACCTGGGACCTCTGCGTGGCAGTCCGGCATGGTAGCCGTTCGGCCACGCAGGCAGTTATTATAAGTTGTTTGGAAACAAAAAAGGAAGAAGATTCGCTTCTTGTTGATTTTTGAATAATCATGTTGTTTATAATACGGAGTAAAGATTATAAGCTATAGGAATGAAACTATTTTTCCGGATTTAAATCGCGTATATTTGTTCTTTCAAACAAACCGACGTTTCGGGCTCTTTACAGGTCCCATGGTCACGGTTGACTGAGGTGGTACAGTCTTCA